AACGTCACTGCACCCATTTACCAATACATTTTGGAGCACTTCATGCTTCCTTCTGCTGACCAGCTTTTTGAAGATGCTGATTTCATTTTCCAGCAGGATTTGGCACCTGCCCACACTGCCAAAAGCACCAAAAGTTGGTTAAATGACCATGTGTTGGTGTGCTTGACTGGCCAGCAAACTCACCAGACCTGAACCCCATAGAGAATCTATGGGGTATTGTCAAGAGGAAAATGAGAAACAAGAGACCAAAAAATACAGATGAGCTGAAGGCCACTGTCAAAGAAACCTGGGCTTCCATACCACCTCAGCAGTGCCACAAACTGATCACCTCCATGCCACGCCGAATTGAGGCAGTAATTAAAGCAAAAGGAGCCCCTACCAAGTATTGAGTACATGTACAGTAAATGAACATACTTTCCAGAAGGCCAACAATTCACTAAAAATGTTTTTTTTATTGGTCTTATGAAGTATTCTAATTTGTTGAGATAGTGAATTGGTGGGTTTTTGTTAAATGTGAGCCAAAATCATCACAATTAAAAGAACCAAAAGACTTAAACTACTTCAGTCTGTGTGCATTGAATTTATTTAATACACGAGTTTCACAATTTGAGTTGAATTACTGAAATACATTTTTTTTAAACTTTTCCACAACATTCTAATTTATTGAGATGCACCTGTAATTACTGTTATTGATCTGCACATCTGCATCTTCCTGCATGCATTTATTGTGAAGTGATTATGGCATTCTGTTACTCATCTGCTGTGCACCCTTCCTCTCTGATCATATTAGTCCAAAGTATCATTATTTAATATAATCAACACGCAAATTGAATTAGTGCATACTTTTCCACAACATTCTAATTTATTGAGATGCACCTGTAATTACTGTTATTGATCTGCACATCTGCATCTTCCTGCATGCATTTATTGTGAAGTGATTATGGCATTCTGTTACTCATCTGCTGTGCACCCTTCCTCTCTGATCATATTAGTCCAAAGTATCATTATTTAATATAATCAACACGCAAATTGAATTAGTGCATATCAATTCAATATTGACGACAATCTTCCTAAGAAGATGTGGATTAAAGATGAAGGGTTTCAATGTGGCAGACACACCTGGCTGTAATCTAAGGAAAGACTGTTCTTAGGTAAACCTGTGTGTGTGTAGTGATGTCAGAGGAGAGTCCATCTAGCATGTTTTTACTTGTGTCTACATAAAAACCATGCATGAAACCTGTGCTTGTATCATTAAACTTGGCAGTTTCAGAAAAGTTTTGGTTGCTTTAAAGAAAATTATTTCACCCAAAAACTAATAATCATCATTACTGTCATTATTTGCTTTTCTGAAACCCCACAATAGCTTTGCATGAGGAAATGACAGAAATGTAAATCATTATGCTGCTATATAGTCATACAGGTTTAGACACAAGGGCAAGCAATTTTATGTTATCATAATTTTTTTTAAGGTGAACTGTGCCTTTAAATCTTACTTTTAAATCACAATAGCCCACTAAAATCACCGTATTGCACATAAATCATGTTGCAAGAGTGGATATCCTCATTCCTGTCTGTTCTCATGATTTAGAATATCCTCATTCTGTTGTGACTCAAAGAACATGAATTTCACACTTGAGATCTTATTAACGTGAAGTACTTTCCTTGACCTTATAAAATAGCGCACTTTTGGTTCAGTTGAGCTCCTTTATACAAAAAAGAAGGTAAATACTGTACAAGTCTTGATGCTTCAGCATCTGTATATCTTGTAAATAACTTTATTCTTTAAACATTCTGTAAAGGAGACCCTCCTTGGTCTTTCAGTACTAAAATACTATTCTTAAATGAAAGTATAAACTAGTCTGTCTGGTTTTCTTGTTGCAGCTTGTACATTTCATAAAATTTTGCAATCCACTGGTTTGACTTGCATCAAAATAAAGAAACGAAATGAAAGAAAAAACAACTTCTGCTTCTGACTTTCCCCCCAAACAAGCCATGCATATGACAACTCACAACTGCATATTGCTGTCATCGGTTTTAGCTTAAATAAGCCACATTATCAGACCTTAAAGCCATGAGAATAGAGGAAATTTCATGCTGTGGTGGAACGTCCAGCTTAAAAAAAAAGGGTTGTTAATTTTATTGAAAACGTGACAGCAATCACACACATTATGTTAAAACAGATTTGCTGCTTGAGGTATTAGCGCTGAGAGTTAATTACAAAATGTTAAATGTCAAATTCATTATAAAGGCTTAGAGGGCTGTTTTGTCAATAAAATGACTGTGTCTGTCCTTCAGCCTTCAAAGCAATCATCCTTTATTTCTTGAGAGCCTAAAGGCATCTGGAAAAACAGAACTCCAGATGAAGTGGCTTGGAAATTTATTCATTGGGGCAGCGTCAAGTTTGATTGCTAAATCATGAAAACAGACAACAATCTAATGCTTACTCAACAAAATCTCTTTTTTAAAATTAGACTGTAGCTGCTACAGTACATAAAAAGTTTATAGTACTTTTTTTTTTTTAAATAGGACACACTAAATTAAGCAAATGACAGTAAGGCATTTAACATGTTACGAAATGTACTATTTTAAATGAATGACTTCTGAAGGAGTTCAGTTGCTTTGTCACAATCTGTATTGTTAAAAGCGCTATATAAATAAAGGTGACTTGACTTGACTTGACACTGTTTTCGTTCAGCGGATATTCTCCTTAATGGCGCTAGGGTGACGCGGAGGAGACGAATTGTTGAATAAAGTCGTTATTTTTGTTTTCTTTGCATACAAAAAGTATTCTCATAGCTTCGTAAAATTACGGTTGAACCCCTGGTGTCACATGGATTATTTTACCGATCTCCTTGTTATGTTTCTGGACATTGATCATGGTAATTACATTGCTGTCTATGGGAGGGTCAGAGAGCTCTCAGAATTCATCAAAAATATCTTAATTTTTGTTCCGAAGATGAACAGCGGTCTTACGGGTTTAGAATGACATGAGGGTGAGTAATTAAAGACAGAATTTTCATTTTTGGGTGAACTAACCCTTTAATGACAGCTAAAATTGCCAGCTGTAAATATGCTTAAAATCTGACCAATACTATACTCACAGGCATCACAAGTCAAACTTCCAGACAAAAAGCCTCAATCAGCAATGTACTCTTCAAAACTTACCACCTGCTTCATAATTTACAGTGCAAACCACAGAAAAACCATTACAGACCCATTACGCTATATTACCAGGAAATTCAGCACATCCTTTACATTTTTCGATTTTAAAAACATGCTTTTTGTTCGTTTTCTGTCAGGAGTTTGAAGAGACGGATGAACCACAGCCAATATACTCTTTAAAATGGACATGTGTTCTAGGCAAGAGTAAATGAATAAAACATAAACATCCTAACCAACAGGCAGGTTGACCTTACATAAAAGCTTCGCATTGATTTTTTTAAAATCAAAATTACATTCAGATCATGTGACTATCTGGGACCATCTGGAAATCTAATAAGAAGTTGGTTAGTGTGGATTTCATCTCAGTTCTCAAGAATTTGTCTGAAGATCGATGGGACCTTAAGAGCTTCTAGTCAAAATCAATAAAATGATATGATTGGTCCCTAGTGCATTTCCTCTGTAACTGCACTGCCAGCTAACATCTGAAGTCATTTCTTGCCAGACGCTGCGAGACGATTTCACTAATGGCCAATGTTATGTCATGATAAGAAGGCAACAAGTTCAACTTTTAAGATTTGACTATATAACTGGACTGCTAGAAACAGACAAAGCCAAAGCGACTGCTTATATGAATACACTCAATACAGTTGGACAGTTTGGGGTCATTTTTTAATTCAGTCGAAATCAAAGAATCCTGGAGAAAAGTGTCACCGTTTTCATTAAACAAAGCAGCACCATTGTTTTCAACATTGATAATAATAAGAAATGCTTCTAGAGGTTTTTCTTGAGAAGCAAATCATTATATTAGAATGATTTCTAAAAGATCATGTGACACTGACTGGAGTAATGATGCTGAAAATTCAGATTTGAACATTTTAAAAGTAAGGAATATTTCAATTCAATAATACAATATTTGTGTATACTTTTTATTGTATTTGTTTTAGCTTATTAAAGTATCACACTGTTAGCTTAGCTACATGTATTTGCTACATGCTCAACAAGCTTAGCTATTGCCTACATAGACAACATTATCAAGGCGGCTTATAGGTTTTGGAAAATGTGACCCCTGGACCACAAAACCAGTCATAAGGGCACATTTTTTTGAAATTGAGATTTTTACATCACCTGAAAGCTGAATAAATAAGCTTTCCATTGAGGTATTGTATCCTACATGTTAGGATATGACAATATTTGGCCGAGACACGACTATTTGAAAATCTGAGGGTGCAAAAAAAAAAAAAAATTTGAGAAAATTGCCTTTAAAGTTGTCCAACTGAAGTCCTTAGCAATGCATATTACTAATCAAAAATAACGTTTTGATATATATACAGCAGGAAACTTACAAAATATATTCATGGAACATGATCTTTACTTAATATCATAATCATTTTTGGCATAAAAGAATAATTGATCATTTTGACCCATACATTGTATTGTTGGCTATTGCTACAAATATACCCGTGTTACTTATGACTGGTTTTGTGCTCCAGGGTCACATATAAACACTCAAATGAGACTCAACTAACTGCTGAAATGATGTTCATTGCAGAAGTCAGAGATCTCATGTGAGGACATAGCACAGATACTGTAAACAGAGGTCTAGTATGCTTATGGAGTTTCCATGCAGGCTTATCCTATATAATGACCTTCACATGGTTGAGTGTATATATGAACATTTCTGCTCACGTTAAAATGCATGTGCATCCAACCACATATTGGGATCGCATTTCATTGCCAAAAAAATTGGTATTTAAAAAGTTCCCAAAAACATCTGCATTAGGGTTTAAATACTGGATACAGATCCCGGCAGCACACAAAAGACGGGGGGCTCGTTTGGTAACTATGGTTTGAATTAAAAAGTAGTTCTTCCCTCGCTAATTAACTTTAACAATGCAATCAACCAAAGATCCAGCCTCTTTCAGGTTTGACGTTAGTCTTTCCATCATGAAAGCAGCACGATATGGTAAAAAAAACTCAGCTGCTGTTCTTCCATGACTGAAACAACAGACAATGTACAAATTTGCAAATGTCATCCATATGTGAAGCTCTGTATTTGTATAAAAACATTACCAAATCGGAATAATACGGTCTCTCAAAAACATTTAGATAAATGCGTTGGATAAATACATTCTTGTAGATCTTTTTCAGGTTTTAAATATCACATTCTGTGTATAAAGTATAAAGTTACAGCACTAAAATGTAAACTAGCTTGATTTAATTGAGGAAAAGTCCATTCGATTTGTGAAAAATACGTTGGAAAATGTGTGATAGCCACGTTCTGATATACACACATTTCTGCCAATAGCACTGAAGATGTTAACGTCACACGTAATGTAAAATCGAACAGATGTCAAGCAGTCATGTGAATTGCTTACATAACCTTCTGTGCCATGAGAGGACTTATAGTTCAGAGTGCTGGCGAGGTGCTTGGGGGTTTGGTGATGGATGTGGGGTTTGTCTTTGGTTTGGGGCCACATGCTTCTGCTCTCTGTGGTCTTCCCTGCCCCCAGTCTTTATTTTAGGAGCCCTCTGAGCTGCGTAAGTCGGTGCTTCTTGGTCCATTATTGCCAGAAAGTCAAAGAATGGCACAGGAGGGCCCCATTTTCCATCTGGGATCAAGCCTAAAAGAACAACGGAGAAAAAAACCCCAGAATGTTGTTGTTCGTGACATCTGTCGAACTCGTTGTTTCACAAAGGTTGATGAAGAACAGCTAGCGCAACTTGAGTAAACACTAATTACTCTGTGTACATGCTACTTATGACAACAAAACAGCACTTATAGGGAGTAAATGATGCTTGATACCTGGAAATCTTAAGTAGAGGAGTTTACTAATGGACAGTGACAAGTGATTCCAGATGTCTTGGTGTGGAAACTATGTAAACTGATCTAATATAATTCCTGTGAAAACACAAGGAATTGTGCACACAGATAGGCCTGTCGTAATAATCAATATATTGACTTATCGCGCAATATATGTACATGACCTCAATCATTTTTGGTGACACAATATATCGCCCATTATATTTACTTAAAAATTAATGTCACCGTGTTTTGTACATTCCACTTGCGCCTGTGTCTTTTGCAGCTTCTCGTACATAACATGGTGTAGTCATGAGGTGCTAGTTCAAATTTAAAAAATGCTTCTACAAAAAAAGTTTCATCTGCAGATATGGTCTTGAGTAGGGGTCTGTGCCTTTGTGCATACGGACATCTGACTGCTAAGTAGTGATTGTGTTTTTCAGCAATAGTGTGCACCCTTAATTTACAGAGAAAAGAAGGTCAGGGAAAAATCTGTAGATGGAAAAATCTCCATACAAGTTCTTTATCCATTTTTATTTTTTTCTACTTGTTACTTTGCACTTTTTGCTAGAAAATGTTTATTTATTTATTCAAGTTTTTTAAGGTATCTAATATTTTGATACTTAATTTTCATGATCTAAATATTCTTAAAAATTAAAAGTTTGTTGTCATTTGGAAGCATGTAGGCCTTCTTGCCTTATTATGCCGTTACATTATGATTATATATTCAGTGGTTTAAAATGGTCTTTAAAATGACAATAATATCGCTTATCGCAATTATTTCTGGGGCAATATATCGTACAACAAAAAGTTGTTATCGTGACAGACCTACACACAAACAACATAGCTGCATGCTATAATAAAACAATTTATTAACAATGAATGCAAACATTTCTCATTAGTAATTTGATTAGATTTCTTGATTGATTTATATTGATTATACTTGATTTTATATTGCTGAAAACAACTCTGAATTCATCATGCACAGTTCAAAAGGAGGGGGGGGGGATGTTTAGATATCTAGACTTTCTATTGGTCCATGTTTCAAAGTTTGGGGTCAGTAAGATTGTGTGTTTTTTTTGGTAATATCTTTTAAATATAAACAAAATAACATAATTAGAACAAACAATCAAGGAAGGAGGAATAACAGACACATTACCAATAATTTAACAGTCTTGACAAGAAATTTGATTGAAGATTGTTTCTTGAGCACTCAATCAGCATATTAGTATGATTTATGAAGGATCATGTGAAAATGTAGCTTTGCAATCACAGAAATAAATTACATTTTAAATATACATCCAAATAGAAAACAGTTATTTGAAATTGTAACATTTCGCAATATTACTGCTTCTACTGTATTTTTTAAATAAATGCCGCCCTGTTGAACATAAAAGATTAAGACTTCTTTAAAAACATTTTTTTTTAAATCTTATCAAACAAAAACTTTTGAATGGTAGGGAGAACTTCAATAAAAAGAACTGCTTAACAGTCATGCATTCACAAAATAAATAAATAAAATCAAAATAGTTGTATAGTGTTGTGGAAATCAATACTACAGCAATCTGACACACACACACACACACACACACACACACACACACACACACACACAATCCCCTGAAATAGGCATTTAGACAACACTGAAGAGGTGGAAAATAACTGTAGATCTTCTCAGAATTTCCTTCCATCCAAAATAAATAATTGCAGCTCTATTTCATGGATATAGACGCTATTTTTTTTCCAGCACACTGATAAAAACCTGTGCATCCCTGATGCCTAGAAAAAGCATAACTTGAAGAGTCCAGGAGTTTTTCTTTTAGCTGTTAATGTTCTAAATGACCCTTAAACATTTTAACTTTAAAATGTTTTCTTCTGTAAGTAAATTTTGGATCAAAGCATCTAATAGATAGATAGACAGACAGACAGAGAGATGATCAAAAATACAGTAAAAACTGTAATATTGTGAAATATTAATACCAATACCAATCAGCATATTAGAATGATTTCTGAAGGAACATGTGACTCTGAAGTAATGGAGTAATGATGCTGAAAATTCAGCTTTGTATCACAGGAATAAATGATCATTTAAATATATTAAAACAGAAAATGGTTATTTTAAATAGTAATAATTTTTCCACCTTATTACTCTTTTTACTACATTTTTCATCAAATAAATGCAGCCCTGGTGAGCATAAGAGACTTTAAAACACATTTTTAAAAATCTTACCCATCCAAAACTTTTCAATGGTAGTATGGTAACACTATTTATTCAGGACCAGTTCTCACTATTAACAAGCATGCATATTACTAGCATATTGGCTGTTTGTTAGTATAAATCACATATTAATGCCTTATTAACTATTTATAAGCAGAAAATTAGGAGTTTATTGAGGCAAAAGTCTTAGTTAATAGTTAGTTAATGGTAAGAATTGGCCCTTAAAATGAGTGTGACCAGTAGGGTAAATAAAGTTATATAATGAATACAAAGTGTTATATTTATAATGATAGGAAATTATGAAGGTGTAACAGGATATGAAAATGTCACTCATCGCTCCCATGAGCACAATGAGGGAAAGTCCTGCTGCATCTAAACTTTAATGTGGTGACAACACAGAGGGACATTGCCACTTATTATGCAAAGTTTCCATGAGAAATGCAAAATTAAAAGTAGAATCTTTCTTGTCTTGAGAGACTGAATCCTTTCTCTGGTCACACAGAAGAGAGAAGGACAAACCTATGAATGTGTAATGGGAATGATTACACTTACCGCCCCATTACACATACAGGACCAAAAAAATAGGCTAAAAACACTAACATTACAGTCATACGCCAGACAATACGCAAACAGCCTAATAAAATCTATGGGGCCGTATAGCAGAAAGGAAACAACTATTGTGTTTTCCTTGCACCAAGAGCCATAAAAACGGCACGTATACAATGACTCTTTTAACAGCAATGCGAAGGACATTTCATTATTATTACACTAATGCTTCATGGCTAAAATTCAGATGATGTGAAGACAATTGTATTTGCTCTGCATTTCACTGGCATATGAAATGTAATAAATATCTTGCGATGGATAAAGTGCTTCATCCATCCACATAAAACACATTTTAACCGACAGACGGATGAAGCCATCTTTTTCGGAAGTGCAAAAAGCTGCCAAAAAAAAGTCGCCCGGCCCCAGGAGTCCAGCAGAAGATTTCAGGGAAATAACTTGTAACAATTAGACACAATTAAGGGATACAGTTTCCTCTCAGCTTCACAGGAAGCAGATGGGAGATGCTGAAAAGTGGGTATAAAACCAGTTCAGGTTTTGACACTGACAAAAGCAAGACCCGCTCGGAGACCATCAGCGGAATGGAGCGGAATGTCTTTGGGGACGTGCAGTGAGAGCACATTTTGGAAAGGCATCAACAGAGTTGAGTGCTGGATCTGAGCGATTGGGCTTGTTTTGTTTTTTTACCACATGCAACAATAGTGATTGTATTAGGGGAAAAGTGTTGGTGAGGTTCTGAATGGATAGGGTGTGATCTCAAACACTGGTGTGGTGTGTGCCCGCTTTTACAGGGCAGGGGTGAGCGATGACTGATTCCTGGAAATGTAGGCAAATAACAGACGTTGCCAACAATTACAAGGACATATTTGATGTCTTCAAATGTCTGTTATCTAATTATCAAATTATCTAACTTTCAAACTACTGTGAAAGTTAGATAAAGAGGAGGTACAGTTGACATTTGACATTCACACTTGACATTTCCACAGTTACCACACAATAATATTCTCAATAATACTATGCCAAAAAGGCACGGCCAGGTGGAACCAACATGTTTCCAAGTAATTTTTCTGTCATGAATGAAAGTGAACTACTGACAAAATCACAGATGATGTGAATATAAAAATATAGATAGCATTAACTGATATAAAAATTAAATTAAGTTACAAAATAAAAATAAGTATTAATGTTAAAAAAATGCTAAAAATAAAAATATAAATAATTTTATAACTAGTGCTGTCAAATGATTAATCGCGATTAATCACATCCAAAATAAGTTTCTGTTTGCATAATATATGTGTGTGTGTGTTCTGTGTATATTTATTATGTATACATAAATACACACACATACAGTATATATTTTAAAAATATTTACATGCATTTAAATGTCTATTTATATTCATATAATTTATATTATAATTAAATATATTTAATATATAAACATAACATATTTTTCTGAACTATATACAGGTGCATCTCAATAAATTAGAATGTCGTGGAAAAGTTCATTTATTTCAGTAATTCAACTCAAATTGTGAAACTCGTGTATAAACCTGAATGAGTTTCCTTCTGCAGTTGAATGCAAATGTATATATTTGGAACAATAGCCTACTGGTAAACAAACAGTTTCTGTGCCCCCACAAGATTCTCTATGGGGTTCAGGTCTGGTGAGTTTGCTGGCCAGTCAAGCACACCAACACCATGGTCATTTAACCAACTTTTGGTGCTTTTGGCAGTGTGGGCAGGTGCCAAATCCTGCTGGAAAATGAAATCAGCATCTTCAAAAAGCTGGTCAGCCAGCAGAAGGAAGCATGAAGTGCTCCGAACTTTTCCACGACATTCTAATTTATTGAGATGCACCTGTACATGCATGTGTTTGTATTTATATATACATAATAAATATACAAAGTACACATACATTACGTAAACAAAAACTTTCATTTTGGATGCGATTAATCACGATTAATTGTTTGACAGCACTAATTTTAACATAAAATAAAATATTTAAATGCTACATTTTTAACATTAATATGCTAGAATAAAATATAAATTATTCACAAAATGCAATATTTTAATGCTGATATGCTAAAATATAAAATAATACAATAAAATATAAAATAAACAAATAAATGCCCAAATATCTAAGATATTCTTGTCATTTAATAAGGCTCCAAGTCTTTTATTTTCCTGATTTATCGTCAGACAGAAGTAAAAACAGCAAATTTCACCTCAAGCCGAACATTTTGCGCTATATTTCAAGTATGTAGCGCAAACATGCAAGTGAGGTTATCTGTCCAGAAATGTTAATTACATTGATGAAAACTTGAAAAAATAATTTTCCTCATTCATTTTGTTGCACCTGGTTAGGGCTGAAATCTGAACCAAACTGTTGTTTTTTGGATCAAAATCCTTTAATTAAAAGCTACAGGGACTCACCTGCTGGTTGTTCCTGTCCGTTTTCCACATCGTGAATCCACTGAAGGATGTTCTTAGCCATTAGGGGGCGCTCTGGGGGGAAAAGGAACACCTCTTCTCCAGTTTTTAACCGTGACATCACCAAAACAGGAAGTGGAGGTACAAAGCCAAGATACTTTTCCAGGATAGGCCTCCCGACAGGTGTCCGACCTCTAAAACAATGAAACCCCATAGATGACAATTAACAAAGGGTTTGCTTAAAGTGAATGCATTTTGATTAATGTGTCTAACAGATCATGTTCCTCACAGATGGATCCAACATGGCAGGAAGGAATCCAGCTGTCCAGAGCTCAGCAGTTGCTTTATCTCTGCTAAAGCCTTCGTACTCTCTGTACTGTCCTCCTTTCCGATAAAAAGCAGCAGCAAAGGTTTCTCAAGCTCCAAATACCATGGAAGATTTTCCACGGTCAGTTCAGGCTTTAATGCAAAACACAACATATTTTCATCTTATTAGAGAGTTTTTTGCAAAAAAGGAACAAAAGGCGACTTTTATTGCAATAAGATGGCATTTTGAGAAGGAGCGTATTTTCCCACCAAGTGTGAAGGGACATGTAGAATTATTTCACTTTCCTATTTTTTAAATGTAGTTGTTGTTTTTGTAAATTTAAATGTTTTGCCATATCAGCTTCACAAGCTATTACATGGCAGATACAGATTCAACATTCAACAATATAATAAAATAAATATATAATTATAATAAGTACAAATATTTTATAAAATTCTTCTTATAAAATTCAATTTTTACAAAAGTCAGTAAGAGATTCTTTAAATTGTAAAAGTTTTTCTGGGTCCGTCTCAAAAAATAAGTCCTTCATATCACATTTCATATAAATAAGTTATGAACAAGCTTATGTATGTACTATTATTAATATTATTTATTAGTATTCATTTTGAATTAGCTTTTATTTTTATAGTTTCAGTTTTCCTTTGAATTATAGTTTGTTTTAATAATTTTGTTATCAGCTTTTTTATTTGTAATATTTTTACAAATATGTTTTATGTAGCTTTAATTTATTTTTATTTCAGTTTTAGACATTAAACTGAAATGTATTTTATTGCAGTATTTTTCAACCAATTTTTATACATGTAATTTTTTTTTTACAATTAATTTTTTGTTACAATTTAACAAACAAATTTAATAGTTTGTTTTAGTGTACAACAACACTGTTAACTACGTCAATGTGGAGAGCCAGTTAATTCATGTTACTTAAATTCCAGTAAAACACATGTGATTCCAATATAAAGTACCATTGAGCAACTGTGAAACACGTGGTAAATTTGCAACTATTTTCTCAAAACAACTTACAAAACGAACCAGCTCCACTTGTTTTATAAGTGAGACAAGGTCCGTTGGTGAGGATGATGGGAGAGAATAGACCTCATAAGGAACTCCAGGGCTGCGGGACACCAGAAGAGCAGGCAGGTTTACTGACAGTCCCTCCACCCTGATTTTTTTTTTACAATTAATTTTTTGTTACAATTTAACAAACAAATTTAATAGTTTGTTTTAGTGTACAACAACACTGTTAACTACGTCAATGTGGAGAGCCAGTTAATTCATGTTACTTAAATTCCAGTAAAACACATGTGATTCCAATATAAAGTAGAGCAACTGTGAAACACGTGGTAAATTTGCAACTATTTTCTCAAAACAACTTACAAAACGATCCAGCTCCACTTGTTTTATAAGTGAGACAAGGTCCGTTGGTGAGGATGATGGGAGAGAATAGACCTCATAAGGAACTCCAGGGCTGCGGGACACCAGAAGAGCAGGCAGGTTTACTGACAGTCCCTCCACCCTACAGTAAAAACAGTAATATTACAAGATGCTATTACAATTTAAAATATTTGTTTTCTATTTGAATACATGTAATTTATTCTTTTGATGCAAAGCTGAATTTTCAGCAGTCTTCAGTGTCACATGATCCTTCAGAAAACATTCTAATATGCTGATTTGGTGCTCAATTATCATCAATGCTGAAAACAGTTTTGCTGCTTAATATTTTTGTGGAAATGGCGTATTTTTTATTCATAATTCTTTGGTGAATAGAAACGTCAAAAGTTCAATAAAACTATTTTAACAATGTGAAAGTCTTTACTGTCATTTTTTATTAATTTTATGGATCCTTGCTAAATAAATGAATCCAAACTTTCGATAGTAGTGAATATAAGGTCTTTCAATTTTCGATTTGATGAAAATTTTTCCTGGTTAAAAAAAAATCGAATAAAAGTGTTTTTCTAAAAAAAAAAAAAGTGCCTCACAGAAGAAGAATATGGGGTTGTAGCATGACAGTAAATCATTTTTGAGTGAACTACTCCTTTTAGGTTTATACATGTATATATCCTCTATCTATCACATAACAGTGACTCCTGGGAAAGTTGGCTTACCCATATCATGTGTTGAACTGAAAAGGCCCAGCACTCTGACAGAGGTCAGATACATATATTTACTGTACAAATCTCCCTCCAAGAACGACATCACCTCAGCAGAAGAGGAGAGAAGGTAAGGATTGGAGACCAGACTCCTGCAACAACAAAAGTAACTCATTAATAAACATTAGGTGTGAAATGTTCAACTGAGATAATCTTGATTAAAGACTATTGGCTTTCTGTGTGGGAATCTAAGCAGTGCATTTACGATCACTGCACTGTTGTCTTGGGAGCATCTATTAATTGATTTTTGATGGTGCTCTACAGATAAAACACTACAGTTGCCTTTATCAACTCACAGCCATATAAGAACATATAAAAGAAGGTCAGTGTGGAGGCACAAACTGCAAACGTGCTCTTCGATCACCAGGCCTCTAATTTAAAGAAAGACAGCCCACTTTCAGGTTAATCCTGAATGACGGAGACTAAATCCCACCCTGATGATCTGACCTTGTGTGGGTAAGAGGACACAATACTCACAGTAGTATGAACCTGTGTAGGCTCTTGGTTCCCAGCATTCCCTTATAGAGCTGAGCCGCAGCCATGGGCCGGTAGATCAGAACGGTGGGGAAGGAAGTGACATTGTGATCACCGCAAATGTCAGTCCATTCTCCACAGTTTACTGCCGCCAACTTTACCCCATTCATACCTGAACACGATAAAGAAAGAGACAGAGCAAAAAAGAAAGACAGAGGGATGTGGTTTTAACATACTGTATGCTGATATTACTTCCACAAGTCTTTGACTGAAGTTTGTGCACATTTTTAACATAACATGTGATGTCAGATGATAAAATGGACACAAAATCCGTGCATTTTTCTTTTAATTATGCAATCTTGAGGTGTGAAAAAGTTTTTGCCATTAATTCAATGTAATTTATAATTCAATTTAAATTAAGTTAAAAATAAATAAAAAAATCAAATAAATAAAACACTAAATTTTTTCTGCAAAGTAAAACAAAAAAGCCTTGTCAAAAAAAAAACATTGACATAAAGGTAAGTAAATAATGACCAAATTTAAATTTTTTATTTAGCTTCATTACATCTAATTATTTAAAAAAATAAGCAATAAAGGATAGAGGAAATCGCTTAATATATCAACTGAAAATCACAGACAAGTCTGTTAAAAATCATTACAAAAATGGCTCAGAAAAGGGATGTTAGTCCTAAGAAAAATCATTTGTCTGCAGATTCCACTTGGTTTTATATTTTATTATCAAATGCAATGACTTAAGTGTCCAAATACTTTTTGAGGCCAGTGTAAAAGCAAAACATTTTATTATGTAGAGATCGAGAATGACTTCTTTAATGTTTCTTTAATATTATCTGAAAACGGATTCCATCAAATGAATCAATAAAGAAAAAAAATGCGACATAACTCCATTTACAGAATTTCTGGCAATTATGTTCATCACTGAAATGCTTTTACCTTCAAGTGCATCCGCCACCTCTACATATGACTGAATGAAAGCCATACAGACAGCATCCCCTAGAGGACAAAAGTGGATATATCAGGGTAGATTCGTCTTACACATCAACTATAATAATAATACAAAAAGTAAAACTCACATTTAAAATAGAACAGCACCACTGTGACATAATTCTGTGTGACTGTTATTTGAAAAGTGTCTGAAGTGAGCTCAATAACAGACTCCAAATCCAGCATAAGATCACGGTCTCTGTACACAGACTCGGACACCTCATCATCGAGAATATCTGGATAAATTCAACATCTTTAGAAGCAGTTCAAAACCACTGGAACCATTATACTAGCTAGCAATGACTGCATAGGTGGCATCCTACCAAGATCTGACCAATGTTGCTCATCTTCCTCTTCGTCTTCGAACTTGTGTTCTTGCAAAAGTTCTTCTTTGAAAAGTTTCACAACCCCTTCGGCGCTATTCAGGGTAAAATATTTCACATCCTGTTGAGAAAAGCTTGTGTTAAAAACTGATTTGTCAAATAATCACAATCACACAACAAATTCAAAGGTTAAACTGACCTCCTGTGGGAGTCTGTAAGCGGCGTTGTATTTAAGGGAAGTTTTCACATTCGGACTGTCCCTGAAAAACGAAGAGGGGGGGGAAAAATACTAATCAAAATCAAGAGGGAGATACTTTGTTGACTGAAAATAAGATCTGTGGAGGTCAGTTTGGAGATGTGTATTGGATGTTGTATGGCTATATCAAAACTGACCCAATTTACTAAAAGTAGTAAAAATGTCCCTACTCGTATTGTGCATGAGTCATTATAGTGCATCCTTTGCCCAAAAACATTCCCTTTCATGATCTTCACCATAATGTAAAAACTTCCTATACTTCATTCATAGAAATGTGTAAATGTTAACATTTGTCAGTTGTAAACTAATTTGTCAATTTATTTATAAATGATTGTAGTAGGTATATAAAACTTTTTGGACATATATTAATGCTTTTATTCAGCAAGGATGCATTAAACTGATCAAGCGTGAACGTAAAGATATTTAAGCTTACAAAACATTTCTAATAAATGCTGTTCATTTTATCTTTATATGCAAGAAAAGAATCTTGAAAAAAATGTATCACGTTTTCTACAAAAAATATTAAGCAGCATAATAAAACATTTAATATAATATTACGCAGCTTAATAAAATATTAAGCCATGTTTTCAACATCGATAATGATAAGAAATGTTTCTGGATCACCAAATATTAGAATGATTTCTGAAGGATCATTTGTCACTGAAGACTGGAGTAATGATGCAGAAAATTCAGCTTTGCATCACAGAAATAAATTATGTTTTAAAATATACAAAAACAGAGAAAACTGTTCATTTTAATTGTAATAATATTTCACAATATTTCAGTTTTTACTCAATTTTTGAACAAATAACATCAATCTTCACACCCTAAAAACCCACCTATAATTTGCAACCTAACCTGTCTTTGATATTTTTATTAATTATCAATGAGTGCTCATAATGTTGTAACAACTCTCGTTCTTTTTTGCTACCTTTTCAGACCGTAAAGAAAATTCAGCTTTGCATCACAGGAATAAATTATGTTTTAAAATATGTTCAAATAGACAACAATTATTTGAAATCATAATTTCTCACAATATTTCTTTTTTATTGTATTTTTGGGGAAAAAAAACAAAAAAAAACATCTGGCCAGTTAGTTTTATATACTTTAAGTATAGCATATCTCTTATACAGTATATATAAGGTTTTATATACTGTATCTGTATATAACATATATTACATAATAGCCCATTTATAAAATGTGAAAGATTATAAACATTAACACAGACAATAATAAAAAACTATATGTGACCCTGGAGCACAAAACCAGTCTTAAGTCGCTGGGGTATATTTGTAACAATAGCCAAAAATACATTGTATGGGTCAAAATAATAGATTTTTCTTTTATGCCAAAAATCATTAGGATGTTAAGTAAAAATCATGTTCCATGAATATATTTAGTAAATTTCCTACCATAAATATATTAAAACTTAATTGTTGATTAGTAATATGCATGGTTAAGAACTTCATTTGGAAAACTTTAAAGGCGATGTTCTCAATATTTAGATTTTTTTTTGCACCCTCAGATTCCAGATTTTCAAATAGTTGTATCTCGGCCAAATATTGTTCTATCCTAAAAAATGGAAAGCTTATTTATTCAGCTTTCAGGTGATTTATAAATCTCAATTTCGAAAAATTGACACTTAAGACCAGGGTCACAAATAAAAAAGAAAAATAATAAGAGTAATAAAAAATCCACTGCTTTAGCTAATTGCCGATTGTAAAGTGTTGCCTATGGAATCTTGTTACATGAATACATGAAATGCAGTATTGTTTTTGTCGTCAGTACCTGTGAATGAGCACTACTCCGACCTCCCCGCGGAGCTGCAGGGCGAGAGTTTGAGCGGTGGCCCGGTCCAGCTGCTGGGTTTGTAGCTGAGAGAACAGATACAGCACAGGCACACCGAGGTGCATATGAACCACATCTACCTCAGACGGGTCCAGCACTGCCTCTGTCTGCCAGAAAACAAGTCCACAATCAAACATAACAGATATGGAACTGAAGTGAGAATCAGAATTCCAACTCCTTTTTATTATATCTGGTATTAATGATAGGAAGTTGAAGATGCTTTCTCACCACTAGAGGTGCTTCCATCAGCTGCAGGAAGGTGTGTATGTTGATGGTGTTGAGTGGTTTCCTCATTGGAATGCTGGGACACGGATCAGACCGCCTGGACACATCTTTACAGTGCAGAAACCACAGCCGTGCTTGAGAGGAAGAGGGATCGACGACCCTGTGAAGGATAACAGACGATTCATTTGAGAGGCACTGAAGTACTAGAAGAATTTGTTATCATTTATATCAAATTTTTTAAATGTCTATTAATGCAATTAATGTTCATATATTGTGGTAGTTGGCAAGGTTTTTATAGTTAAATAAAACCATAAATTAAACCAGATTTTAAATTTGTAATCACATGTTTTGCTACTTGACGTAAAATAAACAAACTGAAATAATATAAGGTTTTTGTTATATTTGATTTAATTTATTTCTGTTAAATATTACTTTATTTCAAGTAAAAAAAAATGTGGTTACAAATGTAAAATGTGATCACATTTTATGGTTTTAGTTAACTATAATAACCCTGTCAACGACCACACAATATTCAACACGGCAACATCTCTCATTTTAATAAACTAAAACTAATAAATAAAATTATTAAAAACTACACAGACCTATTTAAAAATAAAACCACATGTTTTAAAACAAATAAAAATGACTAATCATATGACAAAATTACTAATCTAAACTAAAATTTAAGTGAAAACATAAAATATTACAATAAAATATCAACAAAAACTATAAAAGAATAGCAATGATACAAAAATAACACTGGTCGCTGGATATCCAAACAAGTGATGAGAAGTTTAGAACAACTTTGGGAACACCTTGTGGCCATATTTTTCATAATTATAGTAGTCTATGGCAACATAAAAAATGTCATGCATCACATCTCTGTTCATTTTATGATTTGAGTACCTTAATAAGGACTGAAATAAAACTTACCCCATATGTTTTAGAACCAAAGTGCCAGTCGTCTGGACAAACTGGTATTTGGTTCCATACACAAACGCTGCCTCCATCAAAGCTCGGTGCTCTATCCCGACAAAAAAACAACAAGAGATATATATAACATTGCTTCATTCCAACCAAGACAATGGACTATAGAGAATATAGAGATCGTACCTGGAAGGCCAAGCACTGGTATGTGACCGACCACAATGCCACTGTTTTGTTTGGCCGCGCTCTCCACACGCAGCAGCTCAGCAGGTGTGTGCACATAACGGACTTCATTGAAGAGGACAGAGCTTTATGGACGAAATAAGGCACACATTCAAAGGTCAACTGGTCAAGGCCATCACTGTAGTTCCACCAGCCGAAATATCCACCTCGTTAAATGTTGGTGGTGCTACTGTAAAAGTTTGAAATAAAGGAACTCACAAAAGCACATGAGAAACAATTGCGTTGACGTCAAATACGGTATCGATGTCGAAACTCCTCAGGACCTCAGAGCCTCTGGAATGATAAAAGATAAAAAAAAGCTTTTGGGCTGTTCCAAACCTGTACGACCATATGGAGTCAACGGATCATTTTTATATTTGTCCAAAAAAGATATACTTGTGTTTATACTTGTGTACTATATCTCGTGTCTCAACAATGAAAGATTTTGAATTGTTTTTAAAAGAAGTGTCTTAAGGCTGCATTTATTTGATCAAAAATAAAGTAAAAACAGTAATTTTGAGAAATATTTGTACATTATATAACAAAAAAAAATGTTATAACATTTTTTAACAACAACAAATAACGGTTTTATATTTGATATATTTTAAAATGTTACATCAAAGCGGAATTTTTTTTTAGCAGCCATTACACAAGACTTCAGTGTCACACGATCCTTCAGAAATCATTCTAATATGTTGATTTGCTGCTCAAGAAACATTTCTTAATATTACCAATGTTGGAAACAGTTGTGCAACTTAATATTTTTGCGGAAACCATTCATTTTTCAGGATTCTTTGATAAACAGAACGTTCAAAAGTACACTTATTTGAAACAGAATCTTTTGTAACATTATAAATGACTTATGAATCAATTTAATGAATCCCTGCTAAATAATTTCTTCCAAAAATCTTACTAACCCCAACATTTTGAATGTATATAATGATGTGAGGGTAAAGTTCATAAACGTTTACCTGAACAAGTATGCCTTGGTCATGAGCTTTTCTCCTGTGCAGTAGTTTGCTATAGCATCTTTAGAACAGTTCACCTGTAAAAACAATCAGTTATTCAAGCTGATATTACTGCATTATAGTCAACCATCATGTACAAAATAACTAGACATCAGAAAGCTCCTTCTTCTGACATTCTGGTGAGACCTGAAGTGAGATTTTGCTCACCTTCACAACAGATATTCCATAGTCCTGTAGGGCATCAGCTGACATCTCAAGCTGCTCCATGAACAGTTTGATGGTTGGATTGACTGCAAGTAGAACTATTGCTTATGTAATAGCCTATGAACTTTAATAATTAACTTTATACGTTTTTTGACACCTCAAATGCATTGATTCAGCAGATCCGCTGATGTGCTGATCTGACTAATGTCTCTTGCTTAGCTTTGCACATTGTGAAAACGGTTCTGCAATCATCTGCAACACATTTATCAAAGTCTCACCATGATTTCCAAAGTATATAAAGGACGTCTTCCCTGTGTGCGTCCTCTCCATGAAGCTCTGACTGGAATCTTCTATCAGTTTGGAGGAACACTGCTCTGATGTTAGGCTAAATAAAAACGCAATCAAATAGACGATGCACATGGTGCCTACTTAATGAACCTTTAACTTACATCCATTTACATTAGTTCATATTAAGGATGAGTCCAGTAAAAACTGGTACACAAAGAATATATCCATATTCAGTTAAAAAAACTCGCCTAGGCTGTGCTACTAAATGCATCAGTCATACCCTAACAAATTAAATTTTTAAGGGCAACCTATTAAAAAAAAATATATATAGTAATTTTGACTATACAAAATCCACTAGGTTAATGTTTACCGGTCAGTGTTACAAATGTAAGTACTGAAAATCGACATCCTCGAACACTAAAACAACATGCGCTGACGCTGTCCAATTAAATTTGTGGGGAGGGTTTAACGGTGAGCTGAACACCAATCAGAAAGCTAAAAATACAAAGATAATCCAGTGAGAAAACCAATGAGAATGAAGTAGGCGGAGGGCTCATGGCGAAAGTCGTTTGAAAAGCCTGTCATTTTGGCTCCAATGTAACGGCCTGTTTCTATTCACCGCTATTTCAACTGAGAGCCAATATGGCGACTAAAGCGCGTTGGTTTCCAGCTTCGTCAGTACTTGGCCAGTACGCGTGATCGCTCCCTACGTTTGATAATCGCTTTTTTTTTTTTTTTTTTTTTACGAGTTGTTTTTCTTTGCTCGGAGGGAGCTGTCTTGCGGAGATTTGGGGATTTATTTTTATTTGCTTTTCATTCCTTTCTTACAAAACATGCATTGCATGCATAAACCACAGCTTTGTACACCCGTCAATTTATAAACAAATTATCCAATTATTTTGCATACTGTTATGTTAGCTATTAAAATAAAATCGTACAAATGTAACCACTGCAAGCTCACAAAAACAACATGCGCAAACGTCCAAGCATTATTTCAAAACAACAATGCCGATACTCTGAAAATTAAAACCGTAGAGCTCCAGAGGCAGGACACCCAAAAGACAAATGATTGGTTTCTCAAAAAAGTAGGCGGCAGTGTAAATTGCTTTTCGGCGAACCTACTTGAAAAGCCTCTCATTTTGGCTCGAATGTAACAGAATTTTTCCATTCAGCACTATTCAACCGAGAGCCAACATGGCGACTAAACCGCGTCAGATTCTAGCCTTTTCCCATTGGTCAGTAGGCGGGGCCAGAGCAGCAACGCTAGCCAGCTGATCGCTTCTTTTCTAGAGCTAGAGTTGGCTTTTCTTAGCTCGGAGGGAGCTGCCTTGCAGAGATTGGGGACTCTGCTGTTTTTTTTTTATTGTTTGTTTTCCACATCTTGCTTATAAACATCCGAGAATTGCTTTAAAGTGTATTCCATACCACAACAACTTAGGGCAGCCTGTAGTTTTTCATTTTCAGCTCATATGTCATTTGTAATTAAGTTTGACGTTATTCAATTGCTCCTAATTTCAAAACGTCTGCATGAAAAGTTTCATGGGAAGGAAAACGGTAGAGCGTTGTGGATAAGTCGACGTGATAGCGAGCATCCCGTCGATATGTTGTTTTTACTAGAAAACCAGGTCAGTGTCAGTGTTTGGACGGACTCGTCCTCCGCCGAACTGATCCAGGCTGCGGTTCCCCCGTCCGTGCAGCTCGGTCTCACGGTTCTCTACACGGTTTTGTACTCGCTGCTCTTCGTGTTTGTTTACCTGCAGCTCTGGTTGGTTCTGCACTACGGACACAAGCGCTTCAGCTACCAGAGTGTTTTTCTCTTTCTGTGTTTGCTCTGGTCGGCTCTGAGGACGACACTATTCTCTTTCTACTTTAAAAATGTTGTTCAAGCAAACCAGCTTCAGCCTTTGCCGTTCTGGCTCCTGTATTGTTTTCCAGTCTGCCTGCAGTTCTTCACCCTGTGTCTGCTCAACCTTTATTTTGCTCAGGTAAGTCCCACTTTGCTGTTTCCCCAATTTGTTTTTATTTTGCAATGTATTACACCCCATCAAAATGCGTCTTTATGATGGTTGGTGGTCTAATTAACATACAACATCAATGTAATTTGTTATATAGAGAGAGAGAGAGAGAATATGAATCCTTTTGCATTTAGTTAGAGTTCCATTTCTATGCAACTCGCATCTAAGTGGGTCCCTCCCACCAAATGTGTTTACTTCATGTGACTGACTTGGAGCTTCATGCTGTAATTGCGATTAAAAGCATCGGCATACTGTCATACAGGCAGATTACTTTGTTTAAGACATTTAGAGACATTCATCATGTTCATGATACTGGGACAAGAGCACAGCTGGAGGTCATCAGTTTCTGTTCAAGTCCCTCTGCTTGGCCACAACAGTGCAGTTCACAGGACAGTCTGAATGAGGACTATTATTGCCACTTTTGGTCCATCCTTCCACCCTTTGTAAAGTCTTGGCCGTCTGTGAATGCAAAACCTCATCATGCAGGGGATGAAATATTGTTCATTTCATCTCCAAAGCTTTATGCACTGGAGAACAGAACATTACAGGCCCTTATTCTATTACTGGAAATGAAACAACTACTTGGTTCACAAAAATTACATTATTGTTATCATTTATTGACATGTCCATGTCAGTCCAAACAAAGCTGTTTGATTTTCTTTATTCTGTAGACCACAAAAAGGGATGTTTAGAAGTATGTCCACGCTGCTCTTTTCCATACGGAGAAAGCGAATAGTGACCAAGGGCTGTTCTGTCATGCTCCAAAAAGCACCATTAAAGTAACATAATAGTAGTCAGTACAACTATTGCACTATATTCCAAGTTATTGGATGTCAGATAATGGTTTTGTGATAGAAACTGACAAAAATGGTAGAGCTATAGGCATCCTGTACTTCAAAAAGTAGAGTATATCAATAGCAAAGTCATGGGTTTGATTCCCAGTGCATTGTAAGTCACTTCTGCCAAACACATCGCATTATACTGAAGCTATACTGAAAATCTCCTTTGCGATTTGAATATGCACTTGTATTCAAAGTCGGATGTAATATCTTGATGCACCATAGGTGCAAATGTGAATGAGATATTCAGAACTGCATACAATCTGTATTAAATACATTTATTTTGGTAGCTTGAAAACCCCTGGTCACCATTCATTTTGTTTTTATGAAAAACAGAAGTGTTATTCTGCTAAACTTCTCTTTTGTTCCTCATTAGCAAGAACTATTTCTTTAAAATATAGTAATTTAAATGTCTAATAAATGAGAGGGTAGTTTATATAATGTCTTGTTTCACTTCTTTGGTTGAATGCCACCATAACTGTTATGGTGAAATATTTGGTTTTAATCTAAATTTAATCTTATTATTCATGTCCAAACTCAACAAATGTGTGCTTTGCCCTTTCTGTTCTGTCCGACATCACCCCGTCTCTGATATTACTCTAAACTTGCTTATATTGCATTTTATTTCGTCCGTAGTCAGCACATAGAGCTGTGGCACAATCAAACCTGACTGACAGGCCCTGCAGTCCTGTTAGATTTATTGACAGCTTTGTTTTATGCAACCACCGTTTATGCCTGTCTGCAGCCTTTCCCCTTACACCCACATTAAGTTGCAGAGGGTTGCTCGAGATAGCTGGTCTTTGTTTGTGCGTATTCCTCGGGAGATATTTGAGATGTGGGCATCGTACCATCACTGCCTGAACAGTACGAGTTGGCATTTGAAGGTGCGAGCCAATCAGAGGCACCTGCTGCAAGAGCATTACATCACCCTGCTCAATCCTGTACTATTCCAGGCACAACACAAGGGGTGTGCAGCATTCTGTTCTGAGAACAGCCACCGCACAGACAAAGACACCAAGCACCCCGACTCCGAAATGTCAGCCAAAAACAAAATCACATCGGTGGGGTACTGTACACGTATGGGGTACGTATCCGAATGAGTCATTTGTATGGCCATGAACGCCGTGTTGTGATCTAGTGCTCTGTCCACTCAGTAATGACCTAATGACCACTATTTTAACTCCGCTGTTTGCCCCACATTCATTTTCCTTGGTAACTGGATGCAGTGATTGAGGTTTCATGCTAGTTGCTGCAGAAACGGGTTAGCTGGGTGTCATATAGGAAGATCGCATCAGTTGTTTTGTAGCTAGTTCGAAAAGGAAAAGCAGCATTATGTACAATATATATCTCTGCTGTAAACATTTTACACACATCTACAAACAAATATTATATTTGATAAAGAATCTTTTAAATAATTTATATATATATACATATTTTTAATAAGTATAACTTTTTATTTCTCCTCTTTCCTACTACTTGTTTCACTTCTCCTTTTGGGGATGTTCTCATATATTATTATTATTTTTTTTAATACTTATATACTGAAATATATAAAAAATACATTACACAGTACATAAAGTAATATAATAAGTTAAATAATAATTATATCTTTTATTTGTCAAATGTAAAAACATGCATGGTGGAACTCAAAATGTGTGCTGTTGTTTATACAGCCAAAAAATCTGTCTCTTTAGGGAAATGAAATTGCAACACTGTAAATAATGCATTTTATACTTGAGTGTTGAGTCGTATTTTACAGTTTTCCTATCCGTTCTTCCTCTGTCTTCCAGTTCCCTGAGGTGGCACCAAAGTGATGACCAATTCATTTTTCAAATTACACTTTCAGCAACTCTTGTGTGTGAAGGAAACACATTAAAGGCGTGTATACTGTGAACGCCAACTGTTTACGTGAAGCAGAACTCCCCCATGAATCAAACGTGTGATTTCTGCATGTAGGAGTGTGTGTGTGTGTGTGTAATGCGTCACATGAGACCTCATCAGCAAAGCCCTGCAAAGAAAAAAGATGGGCCATTTTCCACTCTTGTATGTTTTGTGCTCTTAATGCAGTTGGTGGCACATTGTCGGCAGTTTTTGGTGCTGTCTGCATGTTATTTTAAACATAATTTCACACGTATAAAACAAGGTTCCAGGTTCAAAACATGCAAAAATGTAAAAAATATTTAATGGCATCTGTGACATGCTGTCAGTTATGTAATACAATAATTTGACCTGTCCTTCAGTTTACAAAAATCCAATACCATTATACGTCCTGCATCTCATGCAAAAGTTGCATCTTATCGGCTCTACATGGTCATGACAGGAGTTGAAACCATGGCTGTTCAAAATAGACTAGAACAATAATATTTTGAAATATTATTACAATTTAAAATAACTGTTTTCTATTGGAATGTATTTTAAAATGTCATTTATTCCTGTGATGCAAAGCTGCATTTTCAGTATTTAGTGTCACATGATCCTGCAGAAATCATTTAATATACAGAGTTGGTGCTCAATTTCTTATTGTCAGTGTTGAAAATTGTTGTGCTGCTTAATATTTTTGTGGAATAGTATAAACATATTAATAATAATCACTGACATTTGAACAGTAGTGTATCATGTTTAAGGACAAGTAGCTATGCTTCCATAACACCATGTATTTTAATGTTTATTTATAAACATTTTATTACATCATAGATATTCATTATAAGTGCATTAATGTACATGCAGTTTTGCTTGTTTTTTACAAACTAGTTGACAAATCCAAACCGTGCTTTCAATAGAGCTTAACTTATTTTAAATGCAGAACATGCCATTAATAAGGGTATACAGATTTCAGTTACAAAAAAAACAAAACAGAAAAGTAGTTATGTAGTAATACAGTTGCGTAAGTTCACTTATTTAATCAAATGTTTTCTATTATTTAATATATAGTTTTCAAAGAATGACATGTCCTTGATGTTGCTAATGGTCTCTTGACCATAAAAGTCGCTGTGCATGACATTTCTTCACATTTAGCACGTCAAACCACAGAGTCATGGCTTGTTTCTGCAATCGTATCAGCCGGGAGAGTCTTATTAATTCAGTTTGCCGAGGAATCTTTATAATGGCCAGCCAAACAGAGGCATCACCCCCACGCAGCTCCATTACAGCTTATTGGAATGTTGTTTTCTTATTCCACACTCGCCCTCTTTGTCCTTGTAAACCATCCATAGATATGCAAGTTTGGTGTAGATCATTATGGCTTTATCGCATGTTCCTCGCTGCTATTTACACTCCTCCAATGCTTTTGTAAACTCATATTTGGGGCCAAGTCACATGATCGGGATCAGTAACAGAAATGTGCTGCCTGATTTGTTTAACAAACTTAGGCATCTGTTTGATATGTTCATTGGCTGCCTGGTCTTGACTGGAATGAATCACATTTCGCCCTTTGACAGCTGACTTGGAGATGTTTAGGCTGGAATTTGTTTTGGGCTAATGATTTTAGCAGTTGTGCTGTTGTGTCAGGAGAGGTTCGGGACAGCTGTTGTTAATCTGTAACTAGGCCACAGTTTCTTTGGCAGGAATCTCTAGGTACTGTAGACCTGCTTGTCATGTAAATGGTAGAAGTGGGTAACGAGGACAGTCCACAAGAGCATTGAAGGAAAACAGCCATTTAATCCTCCCGCTTCCTAAATTAGCCGCTTGTTTGTTCCTGGTAAATACAGTTGTTGTGGGATGAATTTGACTCATATACCATGTTCGCTATCTTAAAGGGGCCATGTTGTATTCTTTTTTGCAGTGTTTTTCCCTGATGCCCACTTGTTATTTTCGGTGCAAGACTAGTTAACGTTTTTTACATGACCATTTACCACCCTCATTTTCCTTTAGGACTAAAACAGACTATTTTTGCTACTGTACCTTTAAGACAATATAAATTATGTATTATTATTATTGTTGGAATATGTAAGAATGCTTTATTTTAAAGAAGCCTCTTATGCTCACCAAGGCTACGTTTATTTGATGAATAAATAATAATAAATATCTAAGCAAATAAATAACATTGTGAAGTTTTTATGTTTTAATATATTTTTAAGATATATATATATATATTTTAATTTAAAATGCAGTTTAATGTCACATGATCCTTCA